AGTGGCCTGGGAGCAGGGTGGCCATAGGGAGGCCTGAAAGCCGCATCTCTGAAACTGTTGCCGTCGTTGGTCGTCTTCACGGGACGAAAAAGGCCCCGAGGTGGCTGTCCTGTCTATGTGGTGCTGGGCCTCGGTCCCCGCTTTGTTGTAGTGGCGCTTACGCACCACAGCCCTAAAACAACCACCTTTTTGCAGTCCTGCTTCCCTCTATGCGCAAACATCGGGCACGCTTGTGTAGCAGAGGCTTTAGTCTGGGATCAGGTGAATGAGGGTTGCAGAAAGGATTTCCCTTCACTGAGACTCGCAGCCTGGCCTCTCCTTTTCAGAGTAAGTGCCTACATACAGCCTATTTCAGTTCCTTCAAAGAAATAATTATTTTCTACCGTGTGTGGCCCTTGCAGGAAGAAGTCCAAGCACCTCCCTCCCTCTGTTATTCTGTATCTCCAGTGATCAGAGCACTTGCTTGGGAGCTGAAGATGTGGCTCACAGTCCTTCTCCCAGAACTTTGTGTTTTGCCTTCTGACAGCTGGTCGACGTGAAGTACATAGAGTAGACTTGGAAAAGGGGACTGAAATCCAAGGCTGTTCCCCTCCCTTCCCCATGGCAATGTTATTATTGCTAGGTCACAGCCTCTTCTTGATTGCTCCCATGAATCCTGAATCCCCACCCTTTCCCCCAGGCAGCAGTACGGGTTCAACAGGCTGGTTGAAAATGGAGCGTGTGTTAGGCTAGCCTACCTCCCGGCAGATCCTCTTCAGGCTAGCCGACCTCCCTGGGTTAGATACCCTTCAGGAAGGTGAGAGAGAGGCATCTGAACCCCATCAGCCAGAAGTGGGGAGACCTTGACCTTGGGTTTCCTGGTGTGGGGGGTACTGCAAGGCACACAGGGGGAAGGAAGTTCCCCCTGGGGAGTTGAGAAAGGGTTCAAAGGAGCTGGTGAAGTGTTAAGCAAAAGCAGTCAGTGGCTCAGCACATGGTGGGGAAGTTGATGATAAGCATTTGCAGCTGGTTCTCTCTCTCTCCCACCCTGGAGGAACTGGGCGGCTGCTGACTCAGGAGCTGCATCAAGTTGGAGGAATGGGAATGGGGTCACATTTCCTGAGTGCCTGAGACGTGCTGCAGCCAGTGATGGGATAGCGATGGGCACCTCCTACCTGCTGTCCCCGTCTTGGAAGAGCGATCACAGCACCGTGCTGTAAGGAGCTGGAGCTCGCTGGTATGTGTTGGATGCGCTCTGAGCAGGCTGCGCAGCCAGGGCCGTGGGTCTCGTCTTGCACAGAGACGTGTCTGAGCTCCGAATTCCAGCGCTGGGCTCAGAGGGAAGAGAAGCATGGAGCTGCCCAGTGTAGGGTGGTTCTGGGTATGCAAAAAGCAGAATGTCCTGTATCTTGGGGTGCTGACTGCCTAAAAATAGGACTCCAGAGCCTCTGGGATTAGGCATAGGTTGAGCAGGAGCTTTTGGGAGGGCAGTTCTGAACTTTAATGCCTCAGATCTGCCCTGGTCCTGCTTCTGGTATTAAAGGCCTTACATTCCTTGCAGCTCATGTGAATGTCCCTTAAGCGTGCTTGGGGCATGCAGTTATAGCTAACTGCCCTGCAAACTCCTGGAATCTGAAAAGTTGAATTCTTCCATTCGTACGCACCCTCGCCTGCCCTGCAAAATTATTTCCTTCAGTCTAGCAAACCTCTGTGTTAAAGGTCTGCATCTTAAGTCGTCCACTGCTGTTTTACCCGTGGAGAGCCAATGACAGCAAGTGAGACCTGATTTTATTTTTTTAATTTATTTTTTGGGGGTACCATTTAAGTGAGCACACGTAATTGAATACACGCTGAGAACTGATCTGCTGAAGAGCCTGCTGTTTCTAAATACAGTAGCTACCCTTCATAGTAGGCTTGTTAAGCTTAAAATATATCTAGGTAGGGGTATTATCAGCCTTGTTTTACCAAAATAGATTTTTTTCCTTGGAAGTAAACAGGGAAAACTGGGGAGGAACTGTAGCTGAGGTCTGACAGATGTTCAAGTACGTGAAGCTTAGAGGAATGTATGCTATTCAGTTTGCTCACAGAGGCTTTGTGACCTGTGTCTTCACAGTAATGATGACACAAGCTTTTTTGAATAAAAGGAAGAAATTAACTGCCTTGGCTAATTGTACCCTTGCTAGCTAGCTAACCAAGGGCACCATTTGACTGTGAAAATTGTTGGTGCACCCAAATTTCTCAGCTGGGGAGAATAGCTGCAGTGAGAGTGTTCCCATATCTGTGGGTTAGAAGAGCTATTTAAAAATCTTCCTAATTGGAAAATTAAACACTATTGGTTTAAAACAGTGGTGCACTGCTTTGAAAAATTACGACCATATGGAATCATTTATTACTTTTCAATATGTATTCAGTCTCTTGTGCAATTTTATGTACCTGCTAATGCATAAAGTCTTTTGGAGCAGGAATAAAGCACCACAAAGCATGATTTAATGCTGTAGGGTCACAAAATCTGTTTCAGATTACTGGATGTTTCAATCTGCTGAGAAGAAGGGGAAGTCCCTGAACCAATGAAACAATG